AAGCTTTACCCTGCCCCCACCTCCCTACACCGTGCCACACAACCATCTGACCTACCACTGCAAGTCAGCGTGTGATATAGAAGCTGCTTCTCTCACAGCCAAAACCAACTCATTTCATCTGGACCAAGACTGGGTCCTAGGAACACGACCTGGTGGTTACAGCCCAGATGGATGGTGATTATCTAAGGATTAATCCTGCTCCAAAAATCCTTTGCAATTCAGTCCCCTTCCTCCCACTTTGCCTGCAGAGTACATATTCTCCTATTTCACAGGACTTCTGTATTAGATCTTCTCAGGAAGACCTGCTGAGCCACACCTGGTGAATACAAGCAGGGCTCCACTGAAATCAGTGAAGTGGCATCAGTTTAAACTCCCCAAAAGGTCTTTACCGTTTTGTGTATAACTCTTCAGAAACAGAAGTGTTAGTTGTCACTGAAAAGTCAGTGGGGAAGCCACATGTTTATGAAGATGCAGTCCTTTCAAACAGAAGTAGGAAGTAGACAATGATCGAAGGAATCCAAGGTTACCCTCTGATTTACATTCTGCAGGTGGACTGCTGCTGTCCTTTCAGACTGCCTGAAAAACGTTTTTTTCCCCATTACCAGCAAATTTGTTTTCTGTACACTCACAGCATGCCAGCACAGATCAGCAAGTGACTGATACCCAGCTCCTGAAGATGCCTTACATATGTCCCTTACATAGACAAGCATGACCCACGTGTCCACGTGCAGTGTCACACTGCAATGTTTGGAGTCACCTCTGACAAACTACTTTTCTTCTTAAAAATTAAAAAATCCAAACTCATTCACTTGAGAGCTGCTCATCTTCTCCCCGTTCCTACCAAGCGCCCTACAGAGTTTTTAAGTGGCTTTTTGGTTTTTTTCCCTGACACTGCTGCCTCCCTAGCACTCTACTCTAGCACCACGAAGATGCATCGACATGATCGCTAACTGAACCACCTCCACCATCTGTGAATCTTTAGCCTGCCTTTTGATAATGACCATAGACAGCTCTCCGACTCTTCTGCTGATCTGCAATGCAGAGTGCAGCTGTCTGGATCCTTTCTCATTTACAATTTAACAACACCACACACCTGGCAAACTGCCATCCTCCCTTCCCCACTGAGGTTGTGTGAGTTGCGCCAATCGGAGCCCAAAAACCTCTGTACAAAGGCCGACTCTGAGCCCTTAAATAGCCCAGAGGGGAGGAAGCAGCTATACTGGTCCATGGATTGAAGCCATCAACATAAGCTCACCTGCCAGACCCCTCCCATCCTGCATTTCACTCAGCAATCAAGTCATTCCCATCTGAAAGCTGTGTCCTTGATCTCTGTGGCTACATACAAATAGCTCAGGAAATGCCTGGAAGGTGCCTGGTCTTTGTGGATAATCCTGCTGCCCTTGGGAAGCACATTCCCTATGCACCTCTCATACCTGGGATCCTCTTTTAGCCTGGAGTCCTCCTCCTGTGAGAAGACAACGCAGGTGGATTCCTTCTTAATTTAACCTATTTTGCATCTTTCCCTCTTACTATAAGAGAAGTCCAACAGAGACTCCTTAGACTTCTCCAGGCGTAAGGCATTATGGACCCATTGCTTAACCAAAGCCCCTATCTAGGTTGCTAGTACACACCAATAGACTTCAAAACACAAATGCCATCATGTGTATACATCATATTTTATATCGTGTCTCACATCCTGGATTTTGGTTTATGATCACTAGGACAAATGCCCTGTCAGTGACAGGGATGAACTGTCATGGGATGAGAATGCAGGAAAGTCTTAGAAGAGGGTACCCACCTCCTTACTGTCACATTGTCCTACTGGTAACTGGTAGCTCAAAGTCACAAATATGCTGGACTGGTCTTTTCTAGGCGAGGTCTGTCTGACAAATTGCTGCCCTTTCACTTTCCCCAAAGCCTCTTTGTTCTGGAGCTTTCTCAATCAGAAAGAAACTAACAGTTTTCTAAAAATACCTCCCAGTCAGCCCTAAAATACCGACAGATCAAAGCTGGTCACTTGAGGAATGAGGAGCCCAGTAAAAGCTTTCTGCTCTGGAATCGTGTGTCCTGAGCCCTGCTAAGCTGATAACACCACACATCTCTGAGCAACAAGCCTTGCACCATGGGAGGGTGTGAATTCAGGCACAAAGAATTTGGGGGCTTGCTGCTGTGAAGTTGGGCAGTCAGAGGCTTTGAGCCTCTGCAAGAAATACCCCTTCTTCCTCCTCCTGGATGAGGCAAGTGCCCTGCACCCTCACACCACCAACAGAGCCATGGGATCTGTCACCTCACACAGCTGGGACACAGCTGGCCATGGTCAGTAACACTGTGGGGTTCAAACGTAACTCTGAAGCACTCCAAAAGTTGCTCAAGAGACAATAAAATACTGCAGTGAAAGGGGAAGAGGAGGCAGGAAAAGGTGCCTCAGTAACAGTCAAAGCTTACTCTGCTTAGTTATAGACACATGGTCCCCCCAAGAGCTGAGGGGGCAGGAGATGAACAAGTCATGCTTAAAATTTTCACTTACCTGCTCTGGTAGCAGCGGCAGTTTCCCACTTCAGCACTGGGGCTTTTTCTCTTCAGCACAGGCTAGATGTTTTGAGGTGAATGATGTACGTGGCTAAGTCACAAAGTCCACATCCATTCTGAAATGGAGCAAAAACCCAACAACCACATAAACTTTCAGCCTATACGCCTGTTTATCTGGTCGCACAGAGAACCTTTACCTCATAACTCTTCCTCAACTTCATCTCTCTTCAGGAGATGAAGAGATCTCGCCCAGGATCCTGTCTGAGCCCAGTTTACAAACTCCTCCTAGTGGCTTCTCAGATCTCCATACCTCCTCAGATTAAGAAATTGGGAGCAGATGTCTGTGTCTCCCAGGAAGGTTTTTAGCTATCACAGTCACAAGGACAAGCTTGGACTCAGCAAGTAGGGGCAAATAAAATGTGTATATGTGTAAATTCCAAAGAACCAATACATACACTATAGAATTTGATTTTAAAATGCCATTGCACTTCATTAAATGCACGCAGAGCCAGTAATCCTTCCCAGCCACAAAGGCTAAACCTTTCCAACCCCTTGGGACAGAAAGTCTCCCCTTACCACCCGCTCTACTCCTGAAGGAGACCAAGCAGCAGCTGCCAATCGGATAGCATGGCTAATGCACGTATAATAGCAGTTATGGGCTGTTAGGCCGATGGATATTTGGGGAGACTCCTGTTGCCTTTTGAAGACATTTGGTGCTGATCCTGCATTTTATGGTAGCTGTTTCGTGGTATTATTGCAGCTGAGGGCCTGACACTGTGCGGGTGGTGAGTGGTGCATGATTAGTCCCTTTCCAAGCATGCTGCTTGGTCTCCTTCTGTCTCTTTTGCTCTTTCAAACACATCACCAGTAGCGATGATCAGGTTTAAGTTTGACGGTGTTTCCCACCCTGGGGACTTGATGGCTCATCCAGGCAGGGCTGAGGTGACAGCAGTCACGGAGGCAGGGTCAGGCTCCATCTTTTCTAGCTGCTCTCTACAGGGCTGCTGGGCTTCATGGCTTTAGCCTGGAAGTCTTGGAAACCTTATACAGAAATTGTATGATCCGGCATTTGTATTTGAAGAGAAAATTTATCTTCTGCTGGGAAAATAAGTAAAACCACTCCACCACCCAGAAAGCAAAGAAAGGGCAAGCAATTCATGACTCTAACCCAAGGGCAGGGCTGGTTTGCTTTTGTGGTCCATGCAGGAATCCAGCTCTGATGTGAGCACACCATGACCCCCAGCACCCAACACTCTTTTCTTGCCTTTCTGCAGGATAAGGTCCTGAGTCCCTCAGGGCTGCACACATGGGGCCTCACAGAGGCACAGCATCTATGAACATCTCCTGGGAAAACAGCAACTGCAGGAGGCCCTGTCAGGCTTCTGTGTGTTTAACAGCCACCATGCTGTCAGGGTGAGGATTGTTAGAGGCCACCGTGGACTCTGCCACTCAATTTTGATTTCAGTATAACTGAAGGAAGCTTATGATCTGACCTTTAGTTTTTTGACTTTGTTTTTGCTTTACCGCTGGGATCTAGGTTACAGTCTGAGCTCAGATGTATTTGGATCATGCAAAGTGAGTATTTGCAAAGGGGTCTCCCATTTGTCCTGTGAAATCCACACAGTCACAGCACCCTCCAGGCACAGTTTTGCCTAAGGAAAGGTAGCATTTCTAGAAAGCAGAAGGGACTCTTATCTTGCTACGGTCCACATCACTTGGACGCAGTCTGATACTCAGACTGGCGTTACCTTGCACTAACAGCTAGGGATGTTGTGCCTAAGCCAGGAATTCTACTTCACCTCTGCAGCACCTGAGCAGTACAAGTCCTGTCTCTTATTCCCAGGGATACGTGACTCCAGTTTATATTGCTGGTGTCTGACCTAGGAGACCAACAGACCAGAACAACTCCACAGGCTCAAACACACCTTCAGTGGCAGCACACCTATTTAAATTTCACTCAGTTCAAGATTAGAAATGAACTTAAAAGAATCTGCTACAATTCAGGGTTGGCCCTTGGCTTTACACAAAGAAAAACTGCAAAGTGGAGACCTTTGGGGAGAAAGAGGGTTTAGCAACAGGTGATGCTGAGGAGGGATAATTTCTAAGGAAAGCATGCAGAGTAGCATTAGTGCATGATGTTTTAGGAGGTGACAAAGGATTGAGGCTTTCATTACAAGATTTCTAACTATGCTGCCCTCATCCTCCTAAGAAAAGAAGGAGCGTGGCAGAGCAGACCCTATGGTCGCAGATTACTGGAAAGCCACGGGAATATCTTGTTGCTTACAGCACAGCTTAAGTGTATATAACCCTGTGTTAATATGCATTTTGTGCTACTGTAGCCCTGGGTGGTGTCCCAGGTTTTTCCCCTCTTTCAGCTGTAGCCCACCTGCCCAGCATAGGTACACAGAAGTGGCAGGCCCTTCCTCGGGAATTCGCAAGAGGGAAGTAACGTCTTTGCACTTGGTGTCTGGGGATGGAGTTTGCTGGTGGCTGAGGAGGAACGCAAAGGTCTGTCTAGAGCAGTACCACCACCTCATGGGGAGGCTGCAATGTCCCACGGCACCTCTTCCTTTCCAAGATTCACAGAGCAGCAACCAACTGATAAGCACAAATGCCAAGTTATCAACCTTCCCTCATGGTGGCAGCTTTCTAAGTTCAACAGCAGCTCTATGCAAACATGCAAAGCTTGATGGGGGGGAAGCTTCTCCTTCCTCTTTCAGCTCCCTCTTGCATTCCATGACACAACACACTAAGGGACACATGCAGCTGCTCTCGGTGCTTCCTGCATTCTTGAAACAAGGGTGCAAGAGGAGAGGTACAGGAGAGCAGAGCTGTTGGGAAAACAGCTACTAGGGTCCATAAAACTGACATAGTAAGTACATTAATTTATTTTCAGCCTCCCAACATAGAATTTCACTTTAAAACTAGTCCTTAGAGATTCATTTATAAGGACTATCAAATACAGCCAGCATAGGTTATTACAGACCACATTACTGGTCTGTATCTGATAGGCACCATTTGAAATTTTAAAGCGAATCAGGATCAAAGTTATTTCCATTTATTCTGATACTTGTTTTGATGCACTGGCATTACAGAGGAGAAAGTAGTGCCCCAGTGTTCCTGGCTGCCTAGTCCCAGCGGGACGACAGGTCAGCTTTTGACACTATCTTCTGCATCCTAGGGGACAACATGGAAATCCCAGACAGGGGAACTGAGGGAACACACTGACCCTCAAGCTGAAGTGAAATGCCCTACAGACCTACAAGTCTGCATTTGACAAAAGGCTCCTTTTATCTCTTGCTAGTGTTAAACATTTTCCTGTAGAGAACACTCTAGCACTACAGAGGACACAATACACTGGTGTAGCCTTCTGGGACAGTGCTGCAAAATAGGTGCAGCAGACAGGTAATTTCTTGTAGAGTTGTGGAACTCAGTCCTACCAGGATTACCCCGTTTGGCCTCACTGCTGTTGTTTAGAGCAAGCACACAAGCAAAGCCCAGTGATTCTCAGTTAATTGTCACTGCTGTGGCTGGCACACTACAGAGGACACAATACACTGGTGTAGCCTTCTGGGACAGTGCTGCAAAATAGGTGCAGCAGACAGGTAATTTCTTGTAGAGTTGTGGAACTCAGTCCTACCAGGATTACCCCGTTTGGCCTCACTGCTGTTGTTTAGAGCAAGCACACAAGCAAAGCCCAGTGATTCTCAGTTAATTGTCACTGCTGTGGCTGGCACAGCCGGCCGTTTCATCAGCAATGAACAAAAGTCAGTTTAAACAGAAAAGCACTCTGACATTCAGAATCAAATGGCAGAGCTTATCACACAGAACCTAAAGATGAATAAAGCAGAAGGTTCGATTTTTTAAATTTTTTAAAAAGATTATACAGTGGAAGCTCCAGGAAAAGAATGTTATTTAAACATTTTAATACACTAGTGGAATACTAGTACGACTAAGCTGTAGATGGCGACAAGGACTGAGTTCAAACATCCTGTAAGGGATCCCTTAAAACAAGCAAATGCTTTGTTAAGTGTTCTGAAGAGGCACTTCCTCTCATCAGAAAAGCTGAGTCTCCCCAAGTTGTCTCTGACACCTTCTCTGGTTTCAGAGGATCTAAGCTACCTCCATTGACTGCAGCTACAGTATCAAGCTAGAGGAGATGTATGGTAGCACAGAGGACTCATGATCAAAGCCCAAGCTGTTGGGGATTTGGCCATTCCTCATCTCCTTTCATGTCACTCATTAATCTCTTTTGCCCTGTAAACATTAGGTTAGTTAAACTAGAAAGACCACCTTTTCATTATTGTTACAGCCAAAACTTAAATTGAATTAAAATGTAAAAAGCATCAAAATTGAGATCACACCCACAAGCGGGTCTTGGGGCTCACTCCAACTGGTGCATCAGTCTGCAAATGTTTTAAGTGTTTTGAGCATCCCTCTTCACAACTTACGTTTAAAACTGCCAGTAAAGACTCCTATTAGCTTAAAGATGTTCTCTACCTTTCCTTTCTTCCCTGCAGGGACCAACTACACAGCTTTAGTGGCGAGTGTGGTGCTGGGATGCACAGTGATATATGTTGTCTTCTTGTTGGTGAAGAAATCCTTTGTGGGGATGCAATACAGGAATGTTTCTTTACAGCTGTGAGCCAACTGCTGTAAAGATTATCCTAGGGATAAATCATCTCAGAAAGCCCTTTGTCCCTTTGGATTCATCCCACAAGTGTTTCTGCTCCATGTATTGCAGAGGCACTCTGATGCTTCTAGCGGATACTTCAATGTCTGCCCGTAAGAACATCAGAGGAAAATACAGAATATGCTCCCATGTGTTAAGCCCAGACAAGATGTAACACTCTTCATGTGTGTGGTTCCCTAAATAAAAAAAAAAAAAAATCAGTAGCTGGATGTTATCAGGAACAGATTTCTAAGGAAATAAGCCTGGCTGATAACATCCCGAGGACCAAAGCACCAAACACTCCAGAGCACAACACTGAAACAATCAGGATTTGTGTGGGTTGAAAATCTCCAGAATTTGAAGCTTTCAATTTGTTTGAGAAGCAGTTTCTGGCTTTGGGACAAAAGGGCCTGTCATGTGGTTTAAATACCAGAATCCTCTATAAACAACTGATCACAAAGACAGTGATACACCAAGCATGTGCAAGCATTGCCAAAAGCTCATCCTCCCTGCAGAGTTCAAATTGCTACACTCAAGCCAGGTAGAAGGGAAAACCATCACACTGCAGAACGTGTGCTAAATGAGTATGTTAAGAGCTGGCGTGTTTTGAGGACTCCTGATACTGCCTTTAGCTGATTTCTCACCAGTTCAAGTCAGTTATACATGATTTCTAACCCGTATCACTAGATGGATCATAAACACGTATCTTTAAATTCAAATTAACTTTAAGCTAAAGATTAGCCTGCATGGTGGTGAAGCAGAGACAACATTAACTACACCACAAGCTAAGACACTGATAAACGTCAACGAGCACAAGGCAATAAGCAGCAACATTTCTCATCTATGCTAATGCCCCCCCAAACCCAGCTGCTGTTATTTGTCACAGTCTTGTTATGCATAATTGGGTAAGAAAAGTATTTAAAATTGGGCTGCTGAGAAGTTTGAGCATGCTGTATTCTTACAACCAGGGGAGGAGAACACATGCCATTTTAAGCATGACATTTTAAGCTGGAAAACAAACTCAGGAGAAATATCGGTGCTCGGATGCCTGGGATGTGATACTTTGTGATACTGGCCTGCTTCTCAGTTTCACCAGGAAGGAAGCACAGTAAGGTGCAGAAGATACAAACCAAGGTATTCAAATTCTTCACACAGGAAGTTCAAAATGCAAGACTTATCCAAGAGTCATTACTCTTTCTGTAATCTCACTTCATGATTTTAGTTGATGTAAATAACTTTTAAGCAGAAGATAAAAATAACAAAAAATATCAAGTGTTACATTTGTAGAACAAAATTAACATGGAACTAAAGCATGGGAGTATGCTACAATACCCGAAGCTATAGACATGCTATCACCTTTGAAGCCTGTACTTCAACCCTGCTGCTTTTAGTTTCAAAATAAATAGGAGTAACAGAAATAGCCTGATGTGGTGTTGAAAATTTTTGTGGAGTCAAGAGGTTTACTGCTGTATTGAAACTTTTCCAAAATGAAGAACTAAATGAAAACTTACCAAAGGTCATAAACTCTCTCCTCTCAACTAAGAGTGCAATTAATTCTATATGTGTATGGTAAAGAAAAGAAGTCAAAAAATAACAAGCAAAAATTATGGATACTGCCTTCATATTTTAATCCACTGACATAACATCCCCACAGAATAAACAGAATAAAACTTTCCTGAATGTACCTGGCATGACATTAAACAGCTTCACATATTTTCTACTTTAATTTGATCTTCTTTTCCCACAGTTTTAGAATTGTTTTTTCCAATCCTTGGCTAAAATTGGTCATAGTGCATGAGAACTTAGAAGAGCTATCATCACTAATTGCTCAGTTTGCCAGTGTAATTTCTAAAGATGGCACAATGCTAGCCCACCATCCACAGGAGAGGGTGGTTTTACCAAGGTCATTTTGCTTTGTTGCTAGAAGTTCGGCAACATCCACGCAGCCAGCATCCTTCTCTCCTCATCAACCTCATCAGAAAACTGTAGGCACGCACACTTGCACACATCACCTCTCCAGCCACTTTCTGCTGGATCATGCAATTCTCCCTCTGTTTTGCAAGAACAGCTTCAAGACTGGAGACTGTTTAGATTGCTAAGGGATAGAAATGCACATGCGATGTGAAAGAATGAAGACACACACGGTAACTCCTCTTCGTCTGCTCCCATATGGGAAGAACAAGGAAGTGTTACAAAAAGTCTAAAGGCAGTGTACTTTGTACACCAGCGTACTTCCAGATACAGGCACAAAGCAGTTCCAACAGGTCCTGGCTGCCACAAAACAAGGAAAATAGTACAACAGAGAATTGATCAAAGCCTGTAGTGGTCTGAATACTGTTTGTTCACCTGGTGGCTTATGAAGGAGCCTGGATGGAACTTCACAAATAAGGAATGAAAACAGGACACAGAGTAGACAGCGATATTCTATTTTTACAGGCAGGCAATGAAAGGTCTAGTCATTTTGACAGAACCACATGGAAGCACAATCTCAAAGGTAATACAGACTTGTAGCCTCTCAGACTCCCACTTCAGAAATGAGACTTTGCTCTGCAGCTGCAGCCAGGGGTTAGATCAGGTGTGGCAAAGCTCCCTCACCTCAGAAGTTGCACCCACCTCCTCCAGGACCTCTATTAACTCACTCCAGCCCCGCTAAGTTCCCTGCTCAGACAATCAGTGGAGTCTAGGGGATGAAGTTTCACCTTCTCTATTTAAATAAAGCTTTTGGTGGCAGAGAGCGTCTCCTTGCTGTAGGTGCACAGTGTTCAACACAAAATTACCCAAATTCCAAATACTACTGCAGTACAAGTACAAAAACTTTCCACATCATTTCAGCAGACAGCCCACTAGAAATCCAGATGGGAAGTATGCCCTGATGGTGACAGAGGTCAACAAATCCCTATGACAACTTGTCAGGAATGAGGATTTAAGCTATCAAAGCTACTTGATAGTTTAATTTCTATCAAAGCCCAATTTTAACTTCAAATTCTAATTTTAATTTCTACCAAAGCCAAAAATGTGGCTGGGCTCCAGAACATAACAGTAGAAGACCCAACAAATCCCACAGCAGATTATCTTTCAAAATCACACTGAATTCTTGAGACATAGCTAAAAAACTGAATTTCTATGGAAAAGGCTTAAAATTACCCTGCTTGATGACTGGTTATAATCAATATATCCTATTATCCTGCTGAGAAAAAAATGCAACTGCAAAGGTCCTTTCCCTCACAGAGCACTGCAGAAACGTTGCCCTCAGTTCCAAGAGTGAAGGAAAAATGTTAATCTGTCTACTTTCCCACAGATATAGTATGTTTGAGCCTGCAACAGCAAAAAGTATTCTCGGTCTGATTATTCCTTTCCATGCCCAACTTCAGAGAAGGCCAAATTTCATCTTACAGTTGGTTCTTCAGAAGATGTGACCCACATTAGCTGCCTACATTTTTTCTTCTTTGTCCACAAAATTCCAGCATGAAACAACTGCAATGTACTTGCCAGAGAGAAATATTTCAAACGTTTCATATAGAACAAAAATCATAACACAAGCACCACAAAGGAGAACAGATAACCAGTTAGAAGACCATTTGAAAACAGCTGAGCAAACTTTTTAAACAGAAGTCCAACACTGAACAGGCAAGGAAGAAAACAAGGGCACATTATGCTAACAGTATCGCCACAGTGAGCTGCCTTCAAACAACTGGTTCTGCTTTATTCAGAGTTTAGCTAAGCACTTTCCATCCTATTCCAAGTATATTCAAGTGTCCCAGACACAGAGTTCAGACAGTAACTTTGTGACCTACCAAAAGAAAGGCAAGAACGCATCTGAAACTGCATTTCAGTGAAGCTCTAGGTGTAGATTTTGATATTTGAAACAAACAGCAGATTGTTCACAGAGTTCTGAGTGCTCTTTGGGGCAGTTACTAACAATCAGTATAATGTCAACCTAAAGCAAGGTCTTCAGCTTCAGCAATTTGTATTCATAGCACCAACTTTTTTTTTTTAAGAGTTCCCCACATCAGTAAATTAAGGGTCTAGAGAGAAGCAGTGAAAAAAGATGTCGCAACAAAAATGCAAGGTGGTTTCATAGTTGCTTCTGAAGCGTGATGCACTTCAAAGTTTTCTTATTCACAACCTTCATCCATTCTATATATGCAAAACCTGACATTGCCACTTCACTGTCACAGCCACTTCATAGTCCAGTACAGAAATTTAGAGGGATGTTTTATCCAGTTAACAGACAAGAAAATCCTTAGCCTGCTGGCTCTTCATCCATCCTATTTGCAAAGAGACCTGCTCCTTCCTTTCCTGCTGCATGAACCACATCCAAACATGACACGACCTGTTAGTCCACAGTCAGTAAAGGACTTCTAACACACATTCATCTGAACAAAAGATTTTTGTTGTTCTTTATATGTGTTCTTCTATCTGACAAGATGAAAGACAGTCAAACAGCCAGGCCATTACCAAATCAATAAAATCTGTTCATTCCCAGAATCCTAAAACATTGCTGACTAAATGCTAACTTGCCAAACCACAAAGAACACACAAGAGATGCTTCTCAACAGAAATACTTAGTGAAGCCTATTCTGCATTTTACTTTACCAGTCCTGATAGATAGCTGTGCATTTCCCAATCCCTTTTTACCTTTTTTTTTAATAATCACAAATGTTTTTTACCAAAAGACATAACCGACTGAATAGCTAGATCAAACAAAGACGACACGCACTTCAGCAGTTAACCTAGGCAAAAAATTCTTTTGGGGGACAATATTCCTGAAACTAAAAGATGCTCACCACTGTCTGTTCCTAGTTCTTATCTCCCATATTGCCTCACCTGACATTGCAAAGAATAAGAAGATTCTGGACCGCAGGAAGAGTGGAATTCTCATTCTGTCCTGTCACCAGGTGCCTGTCCAGCACAACATGCACAGCATCCGGATTGCTGGCTAAATAAAGGAGAAAAAGCAACAAGCGTTGTGTCAGTGGACACTACTTCAGTTTCAGTATCACATCTCTGACAGAACTAACACAGAAGGTAACTATTTTGACCAGATTTGCTGGGTGACTGACATGCTGATCTACAACCCCCACAGACAGGGACAATCTCGAGCCCCCAATCCTGAAACAATTTCACTAGAAAGTCCTTCTCTGAAAGGAGAGGAGGACTGGTCCCTTGATTCAATTAACATCAGATAGGTAAAGTGCATATATCAAGAGATTTTCGTAATAAAAACCTCAAAGTATATATTAATTACCCTGCTATACAATATAAACTTTTCTTAATGTAAGGCATCAAAGTTGTAATCACCATGCTACAAAAAGCCTGCAGGAAAATACTTATTTTCTGGCCAGCTATAGTAGCCTGATGTATTAATATCTGCCAGCAATTGTTCAGTACTCCAAGTACTCCAGTATTTTTAAGTCATCTCACTCCCGATAGAACCATTATTTTGTCAGTAATGAACAACTCTATTTTCTTCTCCCTCTTCCAGCCACTGACTGTCTAAATACAGGCTAAGTGCCTTCAAACCCCACAGGCTTTTCCTCTTCTTGCTTAATTTGCCAGTACCACCGCAACCAAGCATACGTGACGTAACAGGTATCACAGACACCAGCCTTTAAGCTCTCAGTACTGAACCCATTATGCAGAAGGTGGTGGCAGCAGCTCATTCGAAAAGCATAAAGATGCCATTTAAACACACAAGCAGGCTGACAGCAGCATGGATGGAAGAGGATTAAGCAAAGAATATACAACAATTTGATAAGACAGTGGCATTTCTTCTTAGTGAAAAATAAATGCATGGCATTAGGAGCCTGGTTCTGTTTCCTATTAATGCCATGTGTGTGATCTCTAATCTGGCCACTTCAAATTGTATCAGTTCAATGGGTGGCACTATTCTGTTAAATAAAGGATGACTTAAATACCACGGGCATCTCATTGTTCTCTTTAAGGACAGATCCTAAAAAATTACCTAACAAAATAGCAGACTGAATGACAGCTGCAACTGAATAGAACCATTTATAGCTCATTATTTAATTCTCCCTGTAGCTCTTCAGTATTGCAAGAAAGCACCATGTAAAGGAAAATTACACTTTTGCCGGCACATCCAGAAATAATCTAGGAAAAAAGTGACATTTTTGTGCTTTAATGGATTTAGTTTCTCACACTGGGCAGAACCTCAGATTTTGCAGTTCAAAAGTCAAACTTCTACATTTTGACTAATAATAATTAATGAAATTACTAGTAAAGAAACAAGAAAATACTACAAAACCAGATCTAGCTACAAGTAAATTACTTCATGGCTAAGGCAACTAATCAGAGCAACCAAAAACATGCAGTATAGTGCCTCCAGCTTTAAATAATGAAACATTTGCTTGAATAAAAGACAACCCCAAAATCCAGAACTTAACCTCTCCCGGCAGAGCACATGCTGCCATGCAGCAAGGAAGCAGCTGCAGCACACTACCTACGTACAGACACTCCCCTGCAGGTATGGGCTGTGCATCTGCAGATGGATGGCAACTCTCCTGCACACACCCTTCCCTGCAGCACACATTCCTCCTTCACAGCAGGACAAGCGACCTCGTGTTTACCATGGGGTAAAAGAGTATGCGTGGACAACCACAGAGATCAGTGTGCTGTACTGTACTGCCCTACTTCTCCACACAGTATTTATTCTCATAATTTCTAATCCACTAGGGTATTTGTTTATATCCATGAAATGGGAATGGAAGATGAAATACCCTGTCAGAGTCCTGTTCAGCTGTGTAAAACTGGCACACAAATATTCATTTCCAAAACGCAGCCACGAAACGTGAAGTCCTGGACAACAAGAGAGTGACATACCACTAAATGTAGCTCCAGAATCTTTCACAAAATCTTCCACAATAATGGACAAACTGGCAAAATTAGGCTGCCTTACCAGTTCATACACAGAGGGCTGAAAAAGATCAAAAGGAAGTAAGTCTCTCTTGCTTTTTATGAAAAAAGCCATGCAAACCCAACACATACTTCCCCCTGCAATTTATTTTTCTGTTCCCCCTAGGATTCTCCCAACTATATACAGGAAATGAAACAGAAATGAAGCACAAACCAAATGACCACAAGCAGCTTCTATGGATTTTCTGTAGGGAGCAAACTGAAAATTCTTAAGGGAGACAAAAAGAATGACACCAAGCAATTTCTGCACATCAACTGGACACTGAACAGTGTGCATGCAATTAACTTCATGAAAGCGCAGACCTGTTTGGCTGTTGGACACAAACATTTGGACACAAATGCTGTGCCACTTGCAGAGTCCAAATAACAGTACTCCGCTTTGGAATGAATATGGGAAACAGCTTAAATGAAGAGAGAAAAATTAAGACTACTTAGTTCAGTTTTTATATGCACTGGAGGAAATTGAATTTTATGGTTTCCATAGCAACCATAGCTAGGCCACGTCATGCCTTATTTAAAATATTTTATCATGGACTGTAATGCCAAATACAAGCACATCAGGACTTGATAGCTTTTGTGAGTCCCATTAACTTAGTTTCTTAACTTTGCATGTAAATTTTCAACCCTAGAAGTTGTACTATAGAGGTTTGCATCATCTCGGCACACAAGTACAATTGCCATATAAACAGTCTGTGAGGTCAGAGATATGACTATACATTAAATAAAACATCAACAGCATCTGCCCACTTCTTGAATTACAAGCCAGTTTGTACAAAGAGCCTTCTTTCCTAAACGTTCTTCTACCTTTTAAAATGAAAGAGCATCTTGAGAAATATAACTCACCTCCAGCATTCATGAAACCAAAAAAGTAATTCTTAGAAGCCCTCTGCTGTGAATCCAAAGAGCTGCAGCAGCCATTTCCAGCATTCTATGGATTCAGTTTAAAGTTTACTGAACAATCGGAAGGAAAACACTGTCCACATGACAGCTAAGTGAGACAATCCCTTCACGTGCTCAGTACTGGGCTCCCTTGCCAATGACAACTCTCCACATCTCGCACATAAACCAAGGGTACCAAACTGATGATTTATATTTGTAGAAAGTTATAGGATGAGACCAGAAACCCCAGCACTGGCACCTGAAATCACAGGCCCCCACACAGCAAAAAAGCTCCCAAACTGCAAAAATCAGGTGAAAGCTCAACCTACCCCTGTCAGGCTGTATCCCTGAAATACCCAGGATTTATCCTCATTGGTGGCACAACACAAAGCTGCAACTCCGTGTCCAACTGCACAGATAGGCTCTAGAGAAAAATCAAAGCGTATTGTGAGCATCTTCAAACAGCCAAAACACAGCTGAGTGTCAATGAGGTTCTTCATGTTACAGCGTATTGCCTTCATGCAGTAAAATTATCCTGCACTGATTATACCTTCCTAGGCTGTAAGGTTTTTCCTGCACACTACAATAAGAATTGCCCCAGTCTTGCAAAGAGTTACTAGGTGATAACTCCAAATCCAAAGACAGCAACAGTCAAAGAGAAAAACACATACTCAAAAGGTAAATGAGAAGCGCACACAAGTTTTGATTAACTACAGCCTTAATGATGATCCTGGTACATTCCACATTTGGGTCTGAACCTTGAATCCTACTGACTTGGAGAGCGCCATTTCTGTATCACTGTAAGGCAGAGAACCCTCTTCTGACACAAGCATTGAAAAGCTATGATTTTTTTTTAATATACATTTACATAAAGAGGATACTTTTAAAGAGAAGATACATCCCTGGAAGTATTTAAAAGACATGGCACTTAAGGACATGGTTTAGTGGGCATGGTGGTGTTGGGTTGACGGTTGGACTCAAATGATCTTAGAGGTCTTTTCCAACCTTAATGATTCTATGATTCTATGATTTCTCTAAAGCAGCTCTTTCCAGTTCTGAATGCTCTTCAACTATTTAAACATTTTTAAGTCATTGGAAGGTAACAGCCTTACATGAACAGTACCGTAGTACTATTTTATTTAACAAAATATCTAACGATGTTCACCTACTGTTCTCAGTGCTGAAGTGCTGCAGTATCTTAGCGAGGTACCCACTGTTTGCAAGGTCAGTCATAGCCCCGGGACAGTTTGGAATCAGCAACGCATGGTATCTAGCTCCTAGTAAGGAGGAAAGGATAAACTAGTTGTAATATAAGTAACACACAAAAAAGCCTGATCATAAACCCATTTCAGATTTGACAAAATTAAGACAACACCACATAAGTCAGTCAAAAACTGTATAAACTGAATGAACTAAAGAAATTAACAGATCCATGTGGAGTAGAGAAGAAGGTCCTTTTTAGGACAACAAACATACATTTTTAATGAGACATTCTTACCCAAGCAAAGCTTAAAACTGCTATGTCTCCTAGCTTCTACTTTAGCAAAATATTTATTTTTAAAAAATAGCAATATACAGTGTGCATGTGTATATATATGAGAGAGAATACATATATATTGTGTGTATATATATACATACA